TTCACTCTCCCCCCAAACAATACGATCAGTCATTTCTATTCCACATTATTATATATCACCCGAGCACTTTACCATCTCCAGAAGCATGAAACCATTTCAGATGTTGCAATGAGGGAAGGATTCAGGGACTTGCTTACAGCCCCATAGGCCCTCTTGGTAACCCTAATGTGGGTGAAAGGCTGGTCCTCAGAAGATGGCTCCTTTTGGCACTCACCAACCACACCTCCAATCTAGCTCCATCCTGTTTAGCTTTACAGAAATTTCCACCATAAAAAGAAGCCTCGCAGCAATCTAGCCCCAAGACCTACTCCCATTGAGAATAAAGCTTTCTTGATGCAGAAATCCATTCTTCTTAGGTCAGGGTGGCAACTATGGACCAACCATTCGCCTAAGGCTACAAGTATAAAATGGCTGATAACAGTAATAATGGAGGCAAAAGCAATACCAGCTAACATTTATAATCACTAGTAGGAAATATCTCTTTGTGTTTTGATGATACTGTTCGTCAAGGTACAGTCAACATATGAAAGTGTATGGAATCAGACAAAACTGAAGGCAGATTTCTGCAGTGTCACCAAAGACCTCAATGACCTTGGAGAAATCTTTCAGCCTCTTTGGATTTCAGTGTCTTCTGATAAAAAGGAGTATTCTTGTCCTGTGTGCCTTCCTCCAAAAGACAGTATGCATTCTCAGAGAAATAGCAAGACAATATGAAAGCGCATTACAGAACATGTAGAATGTTCTGTCTACACAGGCTGCTCCACCAGGAAACTCCAGAGGTGTATTCTGTAGTCCTGAGACTAGCATCTCACCTCAAGAGTCACTAGCCGTGCAGTTGCCTTGACTACTAAATTTTCATCTCCCATGTGCAATCATGCATGCATGCATGCATGCACACACATTATCAGAACTCATCCTGCAAGCAGGATCTGTCAACATTCTGGAAAATTTTGGATCCCTCTGGCTATCAATGAATAATTCTAGAGATAGGTAGAAAGAAGAGAAATAATAGAGGTGCCCTTGATATGATATTGTATTTCTCTAGGAAATTTTACTTCATTTTTATAAATACTGTACAATCAATTTACTTTTCCAAACGTGGTTCTTCTTTGATTAGACTAGATGGCACTGTGGTATCACCCTTTTAATGCCTGAGAAAAATCATATCGCATTACAATTTTGCTTCAACTGGGAACAACTCAAGAGGCTTCGGTGAGTCCTGGTTATCCTATAGATTATATCTGAAGGAACCTGGCAAAGGACAATGACTACTTAATATATTATTCAGAGCACATTAATAGTACATTTACAGACATCACATCCCAACCTACATGTCCAAAAGAACTGGAAAAGGCACACATGCCATATACAAACGTTAGACAAAGCTGTGGCTTCCACGGCAGTCAAGACTTCTCTTTTACTTCCCCCACCACGGTTGTAGGTGTAGAAGTCCACTTTTGCCCTAAAGATTGCTTTGATCACCATCCCTCAGTACATCTACAAGCTTCGCTAGCATAAGAGGTCATTTACAGTACTGTCAAATGTGAGGGGACTTTCTTAAACACCACAACGCTGTTGTGACAATGACTTACAAAATTCTTGCCATGAACTGAGGCTCAGCCTTCCTGTGACCAAGGTTCTCTAGACATGGGAAAACAAATCTGTTAGTGTAGAAAGGAAATGAAAGTTCAAAGGATCCAGCCAGACCTCCGGCCTTTGAGAAAAGCCACTGTAAACTGAGGTCATGACCAGAAAACCAGAGGTTCCCTTTGCTGAAGCTAGACAGAAGAAACCACACCCACAGTTCATTCTTAACAGCCACCTGCAAAACACCACTTTGGCCAGGAAACTGAGAGAGTGTCTCCATGGGATATGAAATGCAAGACGGTCCAGGTGGGCAAAAACAGCAGCAGCACCCTTGAAGGCCCATGACATCACCAAAATGGGCAAAGCAAGACACACATGACCATGTCCTTGCCCACTGGAAGACCCCAATTCCACTAACTCATTCATAGACTCTGCCCCAGCCTAGATATTTTTTTCAAAAGCTCCGTGGAACAATAGCCCTGGGTGTGTTGATTTCACTCCAAAACAGCTCCTTTTGTCCACTTCACACAATCCTATGACATCCAGGAATTGGCCATAGCACATAGAGGGAAGAAAATGTCCTGCTGGCTACAGGCCACTCATAAATCAGCTTTTTTTTTTCATCATTCCCAGTCACCCAGAACCTGAGCTGGCCATGGGTGCTTAGGCTATGGGATTTCTGTGCTTCAGAAAAAGCTCCTAGCACTCCTCAAGCCCCTGAGCCCTATGCAGGGTCTACATCAACTTTCCAGCTAGTCACCATGCTGGCAGTGTGTCCCCTCATATTTGAAAAGCACTGTGGACACTTCGGTGGGCGCAGCAGTGAGAGGCACAAGATGAGAATTGGGAACCCTCATTGAGTGTCAGCGAAGAATGGCAGAATGACACCCACTCTCCAGAGAAAAGGGGGGCCTGGGGTGGGAAGGCAATAGAACCCAGCAAAGAAGAAACAAAAAGGTGAGAAAGAGAGAGAAGAAAAGTGGGAAGAGAGACAGGCAATAGAAAGAGAAAGACCAGGAAAAGGAAGGAAGAAGTAGCCAACAGCAGACAAGATGGGCAGAGAATTTTCCACTAGAGAAAGCCAGAAACTAAAAGGGGAAAGAGAATGTGGGAGTAGGAAACTGGGAAGGATCACCAAGCAGAGAAAGAGCATTGGACTTTCAAACCAGGTGCAGAGAAGAGGATAAAGAGGATAAACCCAGAGACTGTGCATGCGGAGCACAATTCTTTAAGGCTCTCCAGTGCTCTGAGTGTGGTGCACAGTCCTGGCTGCTGCTGGGGATGCTCATTCCAGGCAGCCAGGCCACTTTCCCCAACCACCAAGCAGGCCAACCTTCTGATGAGCAGACCCGGGCTGGAGCCCAAAGGCTTCCTGACAGTGCCACAGCGCTGCAAAGATAGGCTCTGGGGTGCCTAGCATCTAGGGACTTGACACTCACAGCGCTAAAGTGTGCACAGGGTCCCCAGCAACTGCAGGCACAGCCTTTCCCGCCCCTAGTTGACCCACTGAGAAGTAGCCAAAGACTCACCTGGAAGGTCTCAGCCTGGCATCGCGCTTGCCGTCCACCACTGCGGGCACGCAGCTGGTGAGCTCGGTCCAGTCGGCATGCAGCCCGCAACTCCAGCCGGTGGAGAACCTGGAGAAGAGCCAGGTCTCCCTCTTACCCGGCCGGTGGCAAGTGCATTTCTTCTGCCCCACGCGGCACTCACATGGCTGCTCCAGCTGGATGTTGCGCACCAGGTGACGGCCAAAAGTGGTGCCTCCAGTCTTCTGGATGTGCAGGAACACGATCAGGTCATCGCCCTTGATATCGAAGTCTACCTTGCGCAGGAGATCGCTGCGGCTGAAATTGTAGCGGGGTACAAACCTGGCGGAGCTCTCATCCTCCGAGCGGTACGGATCGGGCACCGGGGAGCTGAACGCCTGCAGGCGGAGGAGCTGGCATTCTGTGCCGGGGCACACGTATTGGAGGACGATCACGGCAAATAGGAAGAGCATCACCAAAGCCAGCAGCAGCTTGTTGGATTTCTCATCCATGTTCCCGACGCTGGGGGAAACCCAAGCTCGTTACGTCAATCCCGCAGCTCGGCCCGCTCTCGCCTTGCTCCCGCACCGCCCCCTCCCCGTGGCGCCACCGTTGCGCCCCTTTCCCCTCCCGTCCGCACCGAGTACTCCACCACGGAGGCGGCGGCGCCCTTCCCCGCTTCCTTCCTTCCCGGCAGGCTCAGCGCTGTGGCTTCTGCTGCACCCCCCCCCCTACCCCGACTCCATCCCGCTGGCCGTTGGCCCCCTCCTCCGCGGAAGAACCCCGGATCCCTTCCGCGGTGTCTCGTTCCCCGCAGGATCCCTCCTGTCCCGGTCTCTCCACTCCCTAACTCACGCCCACCCCTATCCGGCACCGGGTGCTTCCCGCTCTGTTCTCTCCAGCTCCCATCCCCATCCCGCTTGGCCCATGGGACTCTCCTGTGTTCCGGACCCCAGTCCCCTCCGCGTGCGCGAGCTACCGACCCGAAACGCGGGCTCCCTTGGCGCGTGTCCCGTTGCCTACCGGGTGGCCGCTGGGAGTGAGCTGGGCTTTGGGGGTTCCCCTGGAGGGGAGGGAAGGAGCCCGCGGGCAGCAGGACTTTGCAAGCCGAGGCGGCGCTGCCCTTTCCCGCGGAACCGCGGGGAGGAAGCCGCACGGCGGTCAGTTGCGCTCTCAGCCAGTCCCGAGTCCCCCAGACCGGTCACCGCAGGCTCGCTGGAACTTTGAGCCTTGCCCTCCGCACCCAGCTACCTTCCCTCCTCCCGCCGCTCCAGCTTACCCCGGACCCAGAGAGCGAACCCCACTTTCGCCCACAACGTACCTGGCCAAGGGACCGAAAATCTTGGAGAAGATCGCACTGAGCACGTGCTTGAGCGAGTGGCCCACGGCTGCCAGGCCCCGAGTGAGCAGGGCCCGGCAGAGGGAGCCCAGGTCCCAGCGTCGCCTGAGGTCGTGCATCCGCCTGCGGCGGCCTCGAGGCAGCAGCGCGAAGAGCGGGGCGCGCAAGGCTCCCGCCAAGGAAGAAAATGCCTTTGGGGGCTTGTCCTGGAGTGGCGGGGAGTTGAATCCCAGAGACACACCCCTAGGAGGGCTGGCGCGGACTGAGGCGGCGACTGACCCGGGCCGGCTTGCTGCCAATTCAGCCTCTACTCTGGAATGCCGGCGGGGACAGGTGGTGCGGGCGGGCGCTCCTTGCTCCGGTTGCAACGGCGGCGGCCCGAGCGCCCGGGCTGCAAACGCAGGCAGTGCCATTCCCCCCTTCAGGCAACTCAGGGTACTAAGGATCAGGAGCGAGCTTGAATTTATATAATAATGCCTCGCGCCCAAGAGCCCCAGCCACTTCACAGGCAAAAGACCTGGGTTTTCTCCTGTGTTGGAGAACGGAGGTCACTCCAGAGAGCGCATCACTCCACTTTGGCTCGTAATTTCAACCTCCCTTAAAATAGCAAAGGCGCAAATTGGACCTTTTCCCTCTCTCTTTGCCAATTTCCATTCTGCAACGGAAGAGGGGGTATTTTCTGAAAAGGTAAGTCAGCATGGAAATAAAGCATGACTAAAAAAACCTTACATGGGGGATTTTGAGCATTTTCAAAGCACACTCGCCCTTATTCCTCCCCACTGCTGAATCCCCTGCACCAAGCCCCCACCCCGCTGCAGAAAGATTTCAGTCACTACTGTTTATTGAATGAATGAATCTATAACTACGCACCACATCAGAGAGAGACCATCTTATTCAAGATGCCGTGCTATATGAGGAAACTGAAGCCCAGAGAGAATTAGATATATACCCAAGGTCACACAGCACAGCACTGGGATTTATTTTCAGAAACCGAGAAACTATCCAACCATTTTTTCATAATTAGAACATGTTTCTCAATAAATAGGTATGTGATTATTATCAAGCCCAGTTGTCCAAAAGGCTCTTTTCAGCTGGGAGACCAGGGAGTACAAGAATTTAAAAATGGGTATTCCTTCAGAACAAGGCCCCTGACAACTTGGGACCCAGACGTTTCCTATCTAATTAATAGGGGGAAATGCAGTGCATGAAGACACTGGAAAGCACTGAACATGCACTTCCAGCCCCACTGATGCAAAAGTAGTGCCGGTTAACAGCAATGTTTCAAAGTAGTAGTAACCATTGGCAGTGGGGCCACTGGAAGAGGATGCTGGAAGCTGAGTGCCAGTGTAGGGATGTTCACCTCCAGAACATTATCTCCCTTGCTGTATGGTGAAGCAGCATGCAGAGCACTGATCCAGGAGTCCTTGGAATTTTTTCAGTTCCTTACAGAAACTGTGGCATACTAACTTGCCCTTCCTGAGGCTCAGTTTTCTTTTCTGCCACATAAGACTAATAACAATGCCTCCACTTTAACCAAGCAGGCTAGTGTGAAGCTAAAATGTAGAAACCTTTGGGCAACTCTAAATACCAGATGTTGTTTACCTGCAACTCTTGCCGAGGTGTACCAAATGAGTCTGAGGCTAGTTAAAGAAGGAGGGGGCCCCTGCCCTTCTCAGAATCCCCAGTCCCTTCTAGATTCACCCACACCCTGGGAAACCTCCTGGGTCATTAGGGGATTCTTTGTCTAGCTGCTGCAGGTGTCAAGAATAGTACACCTCTTGGAAATTCTACATTCATGGCATTCCTGCATCCCTGGCCCTGAACTCCAGGAGCAAAGTTGTACAAAGGAACTGGATGCTGCAATACACAAAGAAGACCTCAGACTCCCACCAAAGCTTCCCTGGGTCTGCTAAATCTGTGGAATAGGACCTACTCCCTGCTGGGGGCAGGTAAGGATGTAAGCCCTGAAGCTACAGGGATTATAATTTTCATGGCCACACACACAGTGGCCTCTTTGGCTGACACAGTAGGTAGCTATCCTCATGGTGCCATATAAGGTTCTCCTTGTCATTATATCACCATTATAATGGCATTCAGTGATCCCTAAGAAAAATACCTTCTGAAACTGGTGGTTCGCACATTCAATCCCTCAGCTACTAATTATGGAATTTTTATTTAAGAAGGATTAATGGGATTGGAATATGGGAAAGGAAATTACCTTGGGTGGAGGGTAGAGGGAGGTGGTGAGCAGCACCAGGGAAATTAGGATTTTCTCAAAGTGTAAAAAAGAAACCTGGGCACAAGTGTAAACACACATGCACAAACAGGCAAGCACATTCATAATGAATATCAGAGGAATCTCGAGTCAGGTTTATCTCTACAGAGCCAAAGGAAGTAAACTGCACTTATTGAGATACAGTGCTTGGCTAACACACCAATGTGAATACATACAACAGCTCAGTGGAGGATATTTTTATTTACAAGCCCTTCCTTGACCCCCCCCCCTTCATGATTGTGAGACAATATGAATCATGTGGACTAGCCTGGTGGCTCAGCGGGTAAAAAACACTTGCTTCCAAGCCTGGCGATCTGAGGTCAATCACTGGGACCCAACTATTGCAAGTTGTCATCTGACCTCCACAGGAACACAATGGTGCATACACACACACACACACACACACACACACACACACACACACACACACACACTAAAATATCTAATAACAAAAAAATCTTATGTTTACTATTTTGAAATACATTCTCACTATGTAACCCTAGATGGCTGGCTTAGAACTTCCTATGTAGACAAGGCTGACCTTGAACTCACAGAGATCCTCCTGCCTCTGACTCTTGAGTGCTGGGATTAAAGGCCTGAGTCCCCACACCTAGCTCATAATGGTTTAAGCAAGTTGATCTTTTTTTTTTTTTTTCTTGGACCACATTCATAGCTATTCTCAGCAGGCTGCCCACTTACTGCAGGTTGGACACACGAGCGTGGCTTCTGGGAGATACTGAGATGGGAGGAAAAGAGCAAAGGAACAAGCTGAATTGCAAGGTTTTCCATCTCCCAGGAGCAACTTGAGTTGCCGTGGGTAGAAACATTTAGGATTTGGTACTTGCAGTCTGAACCGGGCCTCTGGTTGACTCCACAATGTGGTGAGGTTTTCAGTATTTGCACAGAACTGTCCTTCATTGGTTTTCAACAAAAGGTTGATGATTCAGAGAGCACAAAGGTCAGCCTGGCTTGTATAGTAAGCAGAGCCCTGGGAGCCCTGAGTCTGGGTGTTGGAGGCTGAGAGGACTGGCCAGAGTCCTTTGTTAAAGGCATGAATCCGAATCCGGAGGGCACACACTGAGATGGCCAGGTTCTTTTGTCACAGAACAAAGAAGTGAACCAGGGACACGTGGATAGTGATAGAAATAGTGACAGTCCATTAAGAAAGACAATGGCACTCTTGAGAATAGGAGTGGGCTAGAGAGCTGGGACAAATCCCAGGCTCAAAAATCTCTTTCTAGGTGGCTCTGCTTTCTCCCACACTTGCAGACTGCCTGCATTTCCCAGGGATGCTCTGCTTGGTTACAGACAGACGCAGTGGAAGTGGGGGTGGGGCTGGGGGTTAAGGTCCTTCTGACTTCTTTCATATGTTAATCTCGATGCCTCTTTCTCCCTGCCCTACTTTCCCACCACACCTTAACTAGGATGCTAAGAAGTCTAGTAGGCCAGGGAAGCCACTTCCTTGCCGGCTGCTTTTGTCCCTGTGTATAAAACAGCAAGGTTAATGCAATTCAAAGAGCACTTTCCTGATCTGATAATGCCAAGACCAAGGTTACTTGTCTGCTTCAAAAGCCAAAATGCCACAGACAGTGGAAGACAGTTGGATTCCTGGTCCTCAAAAAGAAATTCTCCAGCATTCTATGGCATTAGAGAAACACAGTATCTCAGCGGCTACATTTGTTCTGGGCCTATAACACACTAGCGACAGCAGGATACCCTGTTCAAATTAGAATAGAAGTAGTGGAAACACTATTAGAGAGAGTGTGGCACATTTACTATAAAGCATAGAACAATATGTTCGCCCTCATCCTGAGTATTCACTTCAACCCTCTATTTCCAGCTGTCTATAATTTTTTGAAAATGCTCATGTACTCAATAATAGGCAATTTTTGTCACAAAGACTGAAGTCATGCAAATGGTAGAGCCAATTCATTTCTGTGTTTATGTGTCTCTCCAAACTGAATGAACAGCAGTGCTTAAGGAAACGCTATGCTGAAGCTCAAGCTTTAATATTATAAACAGGTTGGGTGTGTTACACATAGCCCTCTCCACAGTCCTGTTTTCCCTCACAAAACACAGAGCTTTGATTTCTAGCCTGACAAAACCTGGGGCTCAAGAAATTAAAAGAGGAGGATAATGTTGGGGTGCTGTGCATACTAAAGGAGTGTGTGTTGTGAAAGTAAAAATAAGCAGCGGATGGGGTGCACAGTAACCTCATCAGTATGAACGTACAGACTGATGACTGCGGAAGCATTTCAGGAACAGGGAAGTTTCCCCTACTTGCTGAGAAGGAATAGAAGTTAGCTCCTGCTGGGCTTTTAGACCTACAGCGTGCCAACCTGCAGCAACCATAGCCTCAGCTCCTAGACAGTCAGCTCACTTCTCTGCATCCCAGTTTCTGTGCAGAAAATAGTGAGTTGTTTTATGGGCACAGTAAGTATGAATCCAATCTCAAGCGAGCCTTCTTAAAGAGAATACAGCAAAACTCTGGAGAGAACATTGCTCTGGAGTTCAGTTGGTGCTCTCTGAGTACTTCACTGGGTTCTCACATGAGTTAACTAATCTGCTGAGAACATTTTTGTTTGTTTGTTTGTTTGTTTGGTTGGTTGGTTGGTTGGTTGGTTAGTTGGTTGGTTGGTTTTTCAAGACAGGGTTTCTCTGTGTTGCTTTGGCGCCTTTCTTGGAACTCACTCTGTAGCCCAGGTTGGCCTCAAACTCACAGAGATCTATTTACTTGCCCATCTCCCCAGTGCTGAAATTAAAGGCGTGTGCCACCACCGCCCGGCCTCTCTATCAATTTTGAGTCTGAACATCTTTGATCTGATATCTTTTTTCTAATACTAACATACTAATGATGGGTAGCTGGCATGGACCTAACAGCAGCTCAAGTGGCTTTGTCCTCATACTATTTATCTCCAGTATTGTCTCACCTTCCTCCCACAGCTCTCTATCACTCTCTCTGCTGATGTCTTTTGGTAGATCTATTCAGCCACATGAAGGAGTAGGGCACAAATTCATAATAACTTCCCAAAGATACCAACAAAACAGAAGGAAGAATAAGGTGCTTAAACCTACTGAACACTCCCTCTGGTGGGATACTCTCAGAGCCAGTAGAGGAGAGACTTGTGGAGCTCGGTGGAACAGACCAGAGTTCTATGCACATGAAGGGGAGTGTTGACAAGGCCAGCCTCCTCCCAACCCTTGTCACGAGTTTTCAGCTCTACTCATTTCCAAAAGTAATAACTGAGTTAGCCAGAGGGGTTTCAATTTGAGCAGCTGGTCAAACCACGGCAGTTGGGATTGAAAAAACAAGGTCAGTTTTGCACTCAGCCTGCATGAACCAGAACTGAGCAAGCCCACCCATCAGCTAATCCCTGGGCTGGTTAGTCCACAGTGGCAAAGTAGATAGTACATCATGATAGAGGCCACAACAATGGCGTTAGCTCACTTCGTGACCAAGGGTGAGTCACTTGATATCTCTGTTATCTTTGGGATTCAGTTGCTCCCCTTGATAAAATAGTAAGGTGGCATTAGATCCTAACGGTCTCTCTCAAGAGGAAGTGTGTGTGTGTGTGTGTGTGTGTGTGTGTGTGTGTGTGTGTGTAGTGTAGTGTAGTGTAGTGTAGTGTAGTGTAGTGTAGTGTAATCGTTGCTAACTAATGGGAGGTCAAACCTTTTCTGGATCTGCCTTTCTGGACACTACCAAAGATGACCAACCCTCTAGCTAGAAGCTGAGTCAAAAAAGGCAGAATGAAGGGCCTAGAGAGATGGCTCCATGGTTAAGAACACTTAGTGCTCTTGCAGAGGATCTAGGTTCAGTTCATAGCATTCACATAGCAGTTCACAATGGTCTCTAACTCTAGTTCCAGGGTTTCCAATGGCTTCTTCTGGCCTCCATGGGCACTGCATATGCAAGGTGCATATACACACATGCTACCAAAACATTCACATAAAATAAAATTAAGTTTTAAAATCTTTTTTAAAAGCAGAACAAGGAGCTCTTGCAGAGGAGCCAGGTTCAGTTCCCAGCACTCACATCACAACTGCCTGTAACTCCAGGTCCAGGACATCTGACACCCTTTTGTGGCTTCTGTGGCCACTGTATACACATGGTACATTTGCATACAAGCAGGCCAAACAGTCATAAAATAATTAATAACAATAAATAAATATTTTTAAAGCAGAACAAGAATTTCAATTAGGAGCAAACTTTTTCAGGACAGGCCATGGTGATGCATGCCTTTAATCCCAGCACTCTGGAGGCAGAGGCAGGCAGACCTTTGTGAGTTCAAGGCCAGCCTGGTCTACAGAGCAAGTTCCAGGACAGCCAAGGCTACACAGAGAAGCCCTGTCAAAACTTTCCCAGGTCACGTGAATAAAATAGAAACCTGAAATAGAAGTTTGGGGCTCTACTGACTGACATGGTAAAATCAAATCGAAAGACTTGGGGAAAATAGTATTGAGAATGGACCTCCGACTGACATGGGAGTGATAATAAAAGTAAGTGGCTTTGCCTGGCCCAGGGTCTCCCATTTGCTTCACATTCTGGTATCTTAACAAGAAAGGGATGCATTCACTCTTCATCCATTACTGACTGGTCACCACAGGAGGTCTCATTTTGGATAATAAAATAAAAAGTTAGAAATTGTATCACAGGGCAAAATGGAGGACATA